GTCTTTGTTGAGTTTTACACGCAGGAATCTCCTTCCCTTGGCATGGTCGTTTCTTTGTGAGTGTATGGTTCGGGTCTTATTTCTGGAGATTGAAGTTTATGCTCTTGTAAAGTATTTCAAAACCCATGTTGTTTTTTGTTCGATATGCTGTGTGTAGTGAATGTATCCCAAGTTCCTCGTTTTAAGGATGCCAGTCCTGTTGGTTTGGGGTCCTCTCTACTGATCTCACTGTACACACTGACTCTTTAAGGACTGGTCTCAGAATAGAGTTACATTCCGAGATACAGTGGATTAGATTAGGACTTCAGCCTCTGAATTTTGGGGGAACAATATTTGCCCATAACACAAGGATTCAGAGAGTCCAGTCATATCCTTTCACTGGAAAGAATAAGGATTTTGATTTCATAGGAAATCTTGTATTTCACAGAATTCAGTAAAACAAGATTCATTTTGGGGAAAAATAAAAAGGTGTATGGGACACATCCAGCAATGCTCAGGGATTTACTCCTACTTCTACTCAGGTATTACTCCTCGTGGTGCTCCAACAGCATGTGCAGTAGATACCAGGGATCGAACCTGGGTCAGCTGCATGTGAGGCAAATGCCCTGCCCGTTGTTTGTTCACTTGGGCCCCCTGAGGTTCATTTCTCTACCTTGGTTTTGAACCTTTGTTCAAAACCTTCAAAACATAACAAAAACAGCTCTCTTTAGTAAATGTACAACAGCTTTATTTTGGTGATCAGCTCTAGATTAATTCTGCGATGTCAAAATGCAATGGGAAGTGGAGTTTGGAATGTGATACTCTCTTATCCTAGGCTTGAATCATCTTTCTGAAACACTGAAGTACCAGAGCATAGAAGCTGGTTGCACTGAGCTAGTGCAGTTCCTGTACCTATGACCTTCCAGCCTGCTGGGGCAGCTTTGGATACAGTCTTTAATAGCAGTGCATTTCTGTCCATATTTAGATTTAGTATTTATAAAGGGACATGTTTATTTTATTTTTAAATTTCACACATGGTAAGTTGTTTTTAAGGAAATCCATTATCTACTGGAAAGCTGTCAAAAAATACCCATTTTGAAACTGTTGGCTCTTTCTTAATAATTCACTGACCTAAAACTAAAACTAATATTTTAGTTTTGCTTATATATCTACAAAACAGTCCTTATATAACTAGGGAAAATTTGCTGTTATGTCTTCATTCATATCTTATCGATAATTCTAAAGTTTACCAGTTGGACTAAATCTTCATCAATTGTAGCCCTGATATAAGTTTATTACATATATATGGTTATATAACAGAGGAGTGATTGATATCTGAGTATCTATTAGAGGAGTAATGTTTGCAATGGTGATTCTCCTTGGGAATGATCTTTTGTTGGCAAAGTTGGTGTTTTTCAATGAAAAAAGATATCAGTGTGGAGTTTTTAAGGTATTTTTTATGTCAGGAATTAGCTAGCGCACATCTAAAAATGTTTTCTCTCTTTACGTCCCATGTCACACACACTTTGAAAGAAAGAAAGCCTTCGGTTCCACGTAAGGACACACACCCAGATATTAACTAGACGGACAAACATCTTACTTGAGCTCCACCCTGCCCCGCCTGCTGCCTACATAGTGGTGGAAACTGTCTTAGGGTGTTTCTTTTTCTGCCATCCAGTCTTTCCTTAGCGAATTGACAAGAAAGCCTGCCATCCTGTAGAGTTCATCTAGAGTCCCAAGGAAGATTCTGGGACTTTCTCAAGAAGGAAAAGGCAGATGCAGAGTGAGCAGAGCTTGGGGATTATCAGAGTAGGGAAAAGGTTAGAAGAAAATAAGCAGAACCTAAGCCACAGCTGCACACCCAGACTAAATCAGCACTGCTGTTTTGGAGGAACGGTGTGGGGGGCGAGGGGGAGTCAACCTTCATGACTCTCCTGACTGTTTACCAAAGAGAATTTGTGCAGAAAAAAAAAATCATTCTCCGGCCAGAAAGGGTACAGCGGGTCGAGCGCTTGCCTTGCACCCAGCTGTCCCGGGTTCAATCCCTGGCACCCGATATCGTCCCCTGAGCGCCATCAGGAGTGATTCCTGAGCGCAGAGCCAGGAGTAAGGCCTGAGCAATGGCAGATGTGAACCCCCCAAAAACAAAAACAAACAAAAAGAGAAGAAAAGGAAACAGATTCATTCTCCCCTGATGATTTTGTGTTGATGAGATGTCATATGGTATAGAGCAGTGTTTCTGAAGGTTTTTCTGGCTTTGTTTTCTTCCTCCGCCTCCCTATCCTACTTTTTAGCTCCCTAGTTTTATGCCACACACATGCGCGCGCACGCGCGCACACACCCACACACACACACACACACACACACACCCCTAACCACTTATGTGATTTCAACTCTATCCTCTTTGAAATATCCTGGGGGCTATATGTATATATATATATATATATATATATGATATATATATATATATATATATATATATATCCTGGGGGCTGGTAAGGGTGGGTGGGGAGCATATGGCATTGCCTGAGCTCACTTTTGAAATTATGTACTGATAATGTAAGAAGTTTCACGTAACTTGTCTCAATTTTTTAACAGGGTATTAAATACACTACCTTTATTCTTTCATCTTGTGTATTTGTGTGCATTTTTTGTTGTTTGTTGAGAAAAACCAGTAAGGTGTGTTGTGGATACAACTAGAGCTATCATAGCGTATAATAATGTATGCAAGCTACTTGTCTGTCCAACAAGTTGTTTTTATCTCAAATCCATAGACTGTGGTGTCCTTAGACAGAACTAGCTATATCTAAACTCCAAGGGAGTCTGGAGTCTAATGGAAGGAGGAGCTGAGCATCTGGTTGAGATGATTTTGTTTTGCAGAGTTACTTAATGGATGATGACAATGACAAGTAACAGCTCATTTAGAAAATAGTCGAGAGTGGGGCCGTAGGCTACAATATGGCATGCCAGAAACCCAGCGGGCTTTTCTGATAATAAATATAGAGCTAGAAACAGTCTTTTTCTGAAAATCTTTGGCCACATAATTTATATCCAGGACAGAAATTGCTGCGAGAGCTTATTCAGTGGTTTGCCTTTGATGGCTCTGTCTCCTTGCACGGCTGCAGAGAGAAGTCACACTCCCTTTCCTAAATGGAAAGATTCATGACTGGTTTAATGGCTGATTCTTGGTTGAGTGAAACAAGCACTAACTGCTGCAATGTTCTCCTTTGACATTGTTTAAGTGCAGTTGGTTTTCAGCAACCCAGTAGGTTTTTGGACTTGGTGTCTTAAAAATACAAGACAAGGGGCCAGAAGATAGTACAGCGGGGAGGGCTCTTGCCTTGCATGGGTTCTATCCCTGGCCCTGTATATGGTCTCCCAAGCCTGTTCAGAGTGATCCCTGAGTGCGGAGCTAGGAGTGACCCCTGAGCATCACCCGTGTGCCCCTGCCCCCCCGCCCCCCTTCCCCCACACACACATACAAAAAATACAAGACAGGGCAGGAAATGCAACTCAGTGTGGAAAGAGAACATGCTTCCTGGTACCACATAGCAAAAGCAAAACTAAACAATTTTTCATAAACACAAGACAAAAATTTTGTTTTAGCAAATAAAAAGAAACTTTTGTTTTGTTTGGGGGCCACACCTAGCAGTGCTCAGGACTTACTCCTGGTTCTGTGCTCCGGGATCACCTCTGGCAGAGCTCAGGAGACCATATGGATCAAACAGGGGTCGGCCATGCACAAGACAAGTGCCTTATCCCCCGAACTATCTTTCCAGTAAAAGTTTGATGAGTCTAATGCAGTGTTAAGAAAACAAAAATTGGCCCTGGAGTGATAGCACAGTGGGTAGGGCGTTTGCCTTGCCAGTGGCCAACCTGGATTCGATTCCCAGCATCCCATATCGTCCCCTGAGCACCGCCAGGACTAATTCCTGAGTGCAGAGCCAGGAGTAACCCCTGAGCATCACCGGGTATGACCCAAAAAGCAAAAAAAAAAAAAAAAAGATTGTACATGATTTAGTATTCAGTATTTGAAAATAGGCGAATGTAGAGCTAGAGGGGAAAAATCAGCCTTGGAGATGGTAATGTCAAGATGGTAACAGGCAGATTTGTTTGTTTATTGGTTGGCAGGAGGCAAAAGCACGAGAATTTTCCTTACATGAAATTGGCAGTTTGAAAATTTTATCTATGATTATGTTTCTTTCTGGATTATGCATCAGTTGGGATGATTCAAGCAAACGGATTTTTTGTCAATTCATGGAAAGTCCATATTTCCAGTGATATTTATAAGTGAGTCCCTTGAAATGGATATTGTAAAGTAAAAAAGATTTTAAAAGTTTGGGCCGGAGCAATAGCACAGCAGGTAGGGCGTTTACCTTGCAAGCGGCCAACCCTGCTTCGATTCCTCCGCCCCTCTCAGAGAGCCCTGCAAGCTATCCGTGACATATTCGATATGCCAAAAACATTAACAACAAGTCTCAGAATTTGAATTTGTTGTGAGATGTTACTGGTGCCCACTCGAGCAAATCGATGAACAGCGGGAGGACAGTGCTACAATGCTACATTCCCTTTTCCCTAATTATAATTGCAAAAGACAAGCCTTATTCTTGGTATTTTTAGATTCTGGGGGAAGGAGAAATAGTGTCCCACTAGCACCCCCTAGTTCCCCCATACAGTACACACACACACACACACACACACACACACACACACACACACCCCTTACCTTTTATAACTTCTCTCAAATCCTTGAGAGAGAACCCAACTCTAAGGCATTTTCAGCTTGGGGTGGTGAGGGGGACGGGGGGTTGTTTTGCTTTTTGTTTTTTTATATTTGGTATTTTTCCTGTATTATTCAGTCCCAACTTGAGGAGGTGGCTGTTTTTCTCCTTTCTTATTTATGTCAACCTACATAACAGCTCTCAGGCTTCATCAGCTATGGTAACAGTTGACATTTATGAGATTCACCAAATTGTTTATAGTATGATCACACAGACAATAAATTTCTTATTCTTTTGTAGCATTGGACATTTTTCCACCATGCTGGTGACATTTTAAGTACATTTGTCAATTTTCCCAAGTTTTGCTGAAGAAAATCAGAAAAACTTCTACTTGAGGACTGACGTATTATCTGCCAATTACCAGGTCAGTATCACCCCAGCTCCTCGAAATGCCACGTGACCCTAAAATGGACTAAAGTTTCCTGTCTTTATCCCTTCCTTCTTCCCTTCCTCCCTTTCTTTCTTCCTCCCTTTCTTTCCTTCCTTCCTTCCTTTCTTTCTTTCTTTCTTTCTTTCTTTCTTTCTTTCTTTCTTTCTTTCTTTCCTCCCAGCTCTTTTTTTTAATGAATCACCTTTTGAGATACAGTTACAGAGTTACAAACTTGCATGATTACGTTTCATTCATACAATGTTCAAGTACCCATCCCTCCACCAGTGCCCATTCTCCATTACCAATGTTCCAGTATCCCTCCCACCACCCCCATCTGTTCCCTCCCCCCTGCGCCCCTCCCGCCTCTGTGGCAGGCACATTCCCTCTTACTCTCTCTCCTCTTCTTGGTGTTATGGTTTGCAACACAGGTACTAAGTGTCCATCATGTTTAGTCAATAATTTACTTTTAGCATGCATCTACCATCCTGAGTGAGCCCTCCAACCATCATTTCCTTAGTGGTCCCTTCTCTATTCCAGCTGCCTTTTCCCCCAGCACATGAGATCGGCTTCCAAGCCATGGAGTGATCCTCCTGGCCCTAATTTCTACTATCCTTAGGTGTTAGTCTCCTATTATGTTACTTTATATTGCACATATGAGTGCAGTCATTCTATGTCTATCCCTCTCTTTCTGACTCATTTCACTTAGCATGATAATCTTCATGTCAGTCCACTTGTATACAAATTTCATGATTTCATCTTTTCTAAATCTGCATAGTATTTCATTATGTTGACATACCAAAGTTTCTTTAACCCGTCATCTGTTCTCGGGCATTCGGGTTGTTTCCCGATTCTGGCTATTGTAATAGAGCTGCATAAACATACAAGTGCGGATAGCATTTCTACTGTACTTTTTTGCATCTCTAGGATATATTCCCAGAAGTGGTATTGCTGAGTCAAATGGGAGCGCAATTTCTAATTTTTTGAGAAACGTCCATATTGTTTTCCAAAAGGGCTGAACCAGTCGGCATCCCCACCAGCAGTGAAGGAGAGTCCGCTTCTCCCCATATCCATGCCAACACCAGTTGCTTTTGTTCTTTTGGATATGGTCCAGTCTCTGTGGTGTGAGGTGATATCTCATTGTTGTTTTGATCTGCATCTCCTTGATGATGAAGAGCATTTTTCCATGTGCCTTTTGGCCATTTGGATTTTTTCTTTGAGAAAGTTTCTGTTCATTTCATCACCCCATTTTCTGATAGGATTGGATTTTTTTCTTGTAGAGTTCAACCAGTGCCTTGAATATCCTTGATATTATCCCCTTGTTGGAGGGGTATTGGGTGAATATTCTTTCCCATTCTGTAGACTATCTTTGTATTCTGGTCACTGTTTTTTTTGAGGTGCAGAAGCTTCTTGGTTTAAGATAGTCCTATTTGTTTATCTGTTTCTACTTGCTTGGCCATTGGCGTTTTGTCCTTGAAGATACCTTTAGCTTCAATGTTGTAGAGGGTTTTGCCGACCTTTTCTTCAATGTACCTTATGGATTCTGGTCTGATGTTGAGGTCTTTAATCCATTTTGATTTGACTTTTGTGCATGGTGTTAAGTAGAGGTCCGAACCCATTTTTTGAATGTAGATGTCCAATTTTGCCAGCTCCATTTGTTAAAGAGGCTTTTCTTGCTCCACTTTATATTTCTTGCTTCTTCATCAAAGATTATATGATCGTATATTTGAGGGTGTGTGTGTGTTCAACCCTATTCCACTTGCCTGTGGATCTGCCTTTGTTCCAATACCATGCTGTTTTAATTACTACTGCTTTGTAGCACAGTTTGAGTTTGGGGAAGGTGATGCCTCCCATCTTTGTTTTCCCAAGAATTGCTTTAGCTATTCATGAGGGCTTGTTGTTCCATATGAATTTCAGGAGTGTTTGATCAATTTCTTCGAAGAATGTCATGGGTACCCTTTTAGGGATTGTATTGAATCTGTATAATGTTTTGACCTCCCACCTCTCTTTATTTCTTCCCTCCCTCCTATCTTCCTTCCTTTCTTTCATTCTTTCTTTCTTTTTCTTTTTCAATTTTTCTATCTCATTTATATCCCAGACAAAAATGTGTTGCCAGGTCCAGTATTTTTGTTAGATTCAAATATCTACAACAGCAAAGAACTGCTACATTTTAATATTTATTTCAAATAGATATTTTTTAATAAGTATTGATTGGAATACATGCCAACAGATCTGTTGTGTTTGGGGGAGGGAAACATCGAGGAGGTTCTCACCTGGTGGTGCTCAGCAGGCTCTGCAGTGCCTGAATTAATCTCAGGACTTCTGTTATTGAAGTCTGCACTCTAGCACTTTTGGGGGAAGGACCTGAAGATCTGCCAGTGATGCTCCAGGGGCTCTGAAACCCTCCCATTGATTCTTGGCCAATCGGGTCATGGTTCAAAATGAGGACCTGCAATGCCAGAGCCAGCCTAGAGGTGCTTGGGGAGCTCCAGGCCCTCAGTGGCAATGCAGAGGAGCGCACAGCGCCAGGGGTCCAGGAGACGTCAACCTCTGTCAAGGCTTCACCTCAGCCCTTGTTTCATCCCTCCAGTCTGAACTCCAGTTTTCTGAGTCATGTCCCAGCTGATTTATTGGTCTTTGAATGACACAGGTGCTGCCCTTTATTTCCTCTTGTGTCATATTGATTATTAATTATGTCTACCTCAAGTCATCACTGACTGTAAATGAGTTGATACCCATTGGTCAGATATCCCAGGTATTAAAATTCATGTTGGAAGTGATTTGTAAATGTAGAAATAACAAAGACTAACTCCTTTTTCTTACCCAGGCTAGACTGTTTCAAAATTAGTGTTTTTACTCTTTTAGGAGGCTGAGGATTATCATAGATCAAGGACTAATCCAGATAAAGTTGATTTTAATCCTTTATATATTTACCTCTTATTCTTTTTTCCCCCTTTTCTTTCTTTTATGTTTTGGCGTCACACTCAGCTGTGCTCCGGGCTTCTTCCTGGCTCTGTGTTCAGGGCTCACTCCTGGCAGGACTCAGGGCACCATACGGGGTGCCAGGAATGGAAAATATGTCAGCTGCATGCAAGGCAAGGGCTACCCACTGCACTATCGCTCCGGCCCGATTTTATTGTCTTGATTTCCATTTCCCATAGAAGCTAGACTGAATGAGGACCATAGCATTTCAGTAGTCTTTATCTGACCTGTGGAGAAACTCCGTTCCAGAGTAGCTGTGATGTTTCTCTTCGGACATCTAACTGTTCGCTGGCAGTCTGAGCATGGCACATGCCCGCCCTGTTGGTGTGTGTCACTTGTGTCACACCGCTCCCCCTGCTGCCGCCACTTCCACTTGTTGTTGAGATGGCCAGTGGTCGAGCACTTGGCTGCAGTGCCCACAGACATTGGGGGCTGGCACTCGCTTTGCTTGTGGTGTGCTAGAGACTGCATATGTGGCTGCCAGGCAGCGATTACAGGGACACTGGACGTGGCCGTGGCGGGGACTCAAACTCTATCTACTTCATGCTTAGGTTGCCTCATGCCTGGGTCCCAACTCTGTTTGGGGGGTCTCAGGGCCACACCTGGTAGTGTTCAGGGGCTATTTCTGGCTCTGTGCTTCTCTGCTTGGGGTCACTCCACTGATGTTCAGGGGACCCAGTGGTGCCAGGAGGGAAGCCAGTGTCCTGCATACTACAACCTCAGAGCTGTCTTCAGCCTGCTGCTACTTCTGTAGACTCAGTTTTAGATCTCTGCGTTAAAACACTTGAAGACTGTAAATGTGGAAGAAAAAAGAGTTATATATGTCAGCACTGTCATTTCCAAGGCGGGAGCTATAAGACAGCGGGTAGGGCATTTGCCTTGTACATGGCCAATGCAGGTTCGATTCCTCCGTCCCTCTCGGAGAGCCCGGCAAGGTACCAAGAGTATCCTGCCCGTACAGCAGAGCCTGGCAAGCTCCCCGTGGTGTATTTGATATGCCAAAAACAGTAATAACAAGTCTCACAATGGAGACATTACTGGTGCCCACTCAAGCAAATCTATGAACAACAGGAGGACAGTGCGACAGTACTACTTTGCTACAGTGCTATTCTTGTCTTGGTGCTCACACAGCTAACGGATTTATTCAGTACAATTTGGTATCTAAGGAATATTTTCACCGCAGGTCTATTTTTTGCATATCGGGACAGCAAGAGGAGGGACATAAAATAAAAACATTTATCCTCTGCTACTTTGTGAAAGGTTAAGAACCTGAATCAAGAGCCTGGGAGATAGCACAGCAGTTAGGTTTATCCTCTGGCACCACCTGGCCCCTGACCATCGCTGAGTGCAGCCCTGCTCACCCACTGAGCCCCACTCTGGAGCTCCAGCACTGGGGGTCCAACAGTACCACATCATGGGCCCTTGCACTGAACTGACAGCCTAGTTGACTGAGACTCACAGGTGGGGCCCCTGGACCTCGCAAGCTGTGCTTGGGAGCCCCACACCCCAAAGCAAACAAACTGATAAACTTGAAACAAGAAAAGGAGATACTACCCTGGGTGGTGACTGAGTTGATGGTTAAAACTCTGCATTGTTTCTACACTACAGAAGAGCCGCTGAAGGCACCTGTGAAGTCACTGGTGTCCCCTTCCCCAGTTCTGGTGATCTCTTTCCTAGAATTTTTTTGGAAAATGAAAGCAGATAGTAGCTATTAGTAAGGCAGTCATTGTTCAGGTGGTATCAGGAACTTGGCAAGACATTTTGCCTTTATTAGCTCAGTCTTTATAGAAGCCCAATAAAGGAAGAGATCGCTGACCTCCTTTTACAGGAAAGAAAGCTGCCTGCATCCTCTCCTTCCTTTCTCTCAGCTGCATACCTACCCTCTTGCGCAGCCCTGCCCTGCTCCTCACTCACTGCAGCCCCTTCCTGCGGCCCCTCTTGGAATGAGTCTAGCTGATTAGGTTTGTGGAGTAGTGCTTCTTTTTCGTTTGTTTTTGGACGACACCTGGTGTGACTCTGAGCTTACTCTTGACTCTGCACTCAGGGGTCATGCCTGGTGGGGCTCAGGGGACAAAATGGGGTGGCGGGATCAAAGCCAGTTGGCCGTATGCAAGACAAGCGCCTACCTGCAATACTGTTGCTCTGACCCCTAGTGAGTCCTTTTCTTTAGCCCACACCTGAGAGTTCAGGGGGACTCCAGATTCAGTAGGGGTCAGCCCTGGCAGTGGTCAGGGACTATGCATTGCCGGAGGTCAAACTGGGGTCTGCCACTTGCAAGACAGGTACCTTAATCCTTGAACTGTCTCTCCAGCCCTTGATTCTTATTTTTCAAAGAGCTGTGGGATAACCAATTTACAATGAGTGAGAACTGTTATTTAGTTGCTAACAAAATTCATTATTTAGAAAGTTAGCATTTGGGCTGGGATTCCCTGGAGCATAATTTATGTGGTAAAAGGTTTGTACAACACATTGTGGAACACAGTCACAATATAGTGAAATAAGAATTTCTACATGTTCTCCTTTACTTAGCACTGGGAGGAAATCAATGAGTCTTTTGTGTGCCTTCTAAAATTAAAAATGCTCAGAAGAGTTGGGAATTATTGGAGGGTGTGTACACTAGTTATGTTGGGATTCACTTGAAAGAAAAACTATCAGAGTCGCGGTTTGGAAGTGAAAGGAAGGCGGAGGATATGATGTTTGCTCTATTTTTGGACATTATAAAATGTACATTACCTTATATATACCCTGGTCACAAGGCCTTCAAAGATTGAACAGCAGGTCCACTGTCTACCTCTGTGCGGTTATAAGAAATCAATCCTGTAGAAAGAACTAGTTTCTATGGCAGTTTGCCAGTAAACATATTTAAAAAGATGCAAGACCTTGTAGAGATATAAACTTGCTAAGTCAAATTCAGTTGATAGTAGCCCGGCCAATTAAGTTGTTTAAACGTTTTATTTTAAGACTTTGGGATGTAGCTCAAGTGTTCGCGCAGTCTCTGGACCTAAGCCCTGGATCCAGCTGCCCAGCCCCGCCTCCTCACATCAGGATGTAGCCCTGGTGGCCCCCAAGGAATCCTGCCTGAGCACTTCCAGGTAGACCCCCAACAAATGTCATTCCTAGGTGCATTTGCATGTGGTTGCATGTCAATATCTTACTATAGAAATACCACGTTATAAATACTTTTAATTATAAGAAATATAAACGTTGGGGGCCAGAGAAATAGTACAGTGGGTAGGGCACTTGCTAACCCAGGTTGGATCCCTGCACCCTTTATGGTCCTCTGAGCCTGTCAGGAGTGATCCCTGAGAGCAGAGCCAGGAGTAGGCCCGGAGCACCTCCGGCTGTCGCCCAAGTAGCATAGATAGCTGATTGATTGATTGATTGATTGATAGATACATACATACATAGACGCATGGATACATAGATATTCTCACTGAAGGTAGATAAATTTTTGTTGTTTGGTTTGGGTTTTTTGGTTCTTTGTGGTGCTGGACCTTACACATTCAAAATTGTTTACTCCGTCTCTGAGCTGAGAGCTGACGGTTTAAAAAAAAAATAAAAAGTCTCCAATCCTCCCACTAAACATTGCTTTGCTCAGTTTTCATGTCAGTTTTCAGAAGGATACCAGAATATTTATGTACAGTTTTGGAATTCTGTTATCTAAAACTAGGGAATCTTTTCAGAGTCAAGACTTTTGATGAAACACTATTCATTGTAACACCATGTTACCTGAACTTCTTGTAAACAAATTCATCATTGATTCTTTCTGTGACCTAAGCATGTTTACAATTAATTATGCCTAGAAGAAAAGTGATGGAAAATTGATCTCTGTGAGTGGTGATGAACTCAGTAATTGAAATGAATTTTATTTTCCTTAATGCACAGTTTGTTGTTACATAAAAAGGCTCTCTTTTCTATAATTGTAGCCCTTTCCTTTTATACAGGACTTTATACTACAACCGCTGCTCTATCTTGGTCTGTTTTTTCTTGAGTAATGACATATCTTTCGTGTCAAGATAGTCTGATCCCTGTCTTTGCTTTAGGTCTGCAGGATGAATCTGGAGAAACTCAGCAAGCCTGAGCTCCTTACACTGTTCAGTATTCTCGAAGGGGAACTTGAAGCTCGCGACCTTGTGATCGAAGCTTTAAAGGTATGTTAAAGGAAAAACTGTTTGTATAGCCCTTTCTTGAACAAATCTGAAGTTATGATTGTGATGTAATTAAAACCTAAGTCTGTTATTTCTGTGTGCTGTTATATTTAGAGTGACAGAGTAATTGATGTTTTTCAAGGGAGACTGCAAAAGATTGACAGTCCTATCTAATGAAATAGGCCTCAGGGTAATTTATCACTGAAAACTATTGCTTGTTTGTTTTCCCTCAGAGTTTTTTATATGTGCAATTCACAATTTCTAGTGGCTTTATTTCTCTGGTGCATGAGACAGTTCCCTCCTGATCTGGGGGATGAGCTTTCTCTCACTTCCTTTCCTTCGCTTCCTCCAGTGTGGCTTTACATGGCGTTTCTGGGGATCACATGTTTATGATTCTGACTTATGCCTCATGTGTGTGAGATACATCCATGGCACACCAGATTTATTGCCTGACTCTTTGCCAGCTGTGCCAGGAAGCATGACCGTGGTGAAGTCCCTCAGTCAACCAGAGTAAAATGTCCTCGCCTGCTGTAAGAATAAGTAACTGGCATCTGTGTGTAACCTCTGAGTTTCCACAGCATTATGGATGGCAGCCCAGTGCTGGAGGGCTCATTTTCCCTTTTCCCTCTTTTCCTGTCCTGTCAGTTCATGTCATGGGTGCCATATGTAAGGGATAGTCAGTGGTTGTCAGTCATCTGAATGAATGTCTCTGTTGAGCCCTCAACATTGCCTAAATTTTTAAATGATGCTCCTGCCAATATGTATTGCGTGTCAGTGTTCCCTCTTGTTAATAATTCATTTCCAACAAGACCTTCCTCACAGACCTTCCCTTTTGTCTGTGTTGGTGGTTTCTGTCTTTATAGTCCCCTGAAAACTCTATTTCTCAAAATCCCATTCCACTTTTACCAGTCGTCCTAATCTGTTGAGACTCAAGACAGTTTTCTGTTTGTTTTGTTTTGTTTTTTTGGACATGGGTTTGAGCAACACTTATCAGTACTCAGGGGCTCATCATAACTCTGCTCCAGAGTGACCCCTGGCGGGACATGGGGATACAAATTCAAATGTATGGTGATTTGAACCAGGGTCACGGCAGCTGTAGTCTCATGCAAGGCAAGTGTCTTACCTCCTGCACTATATCTCCAGCCCTTTTCTCGTGTCTCATCTTGTGTTTATCTGATCAGTGAAGAGGGAAGAAAGGGGTAGAACATGTTTTAGCTCATCCCAGTTCTCAGCCCTCAAAGCCTGTTGTCTCTCTCAGTTCTCATTTGAGCTCCCTGACTCTCCTCTTCACAGGAGGGATCATTCTGGAATAGGACAAGTTCTGCTACTGGGGCTTAACCAGGAAAAGCTTCTCCCCCTAGCCCCTTGCAGAAGAAAAGTTTTCCCAGGAGGGGCTGCATTCTAACAACAACCCAGTTTTATAAAACAGTCATAGTTTGATCATGTATCTGCAAAGCATAGAAATGCTGAAGAAATACTTGTTGAAGAGTTTAAATGATTGTGACACTGGTATACATTGCCTTGAAAGACTGGCATAATATTTCAAAGTGAGCGTTGTAAACTATTAAACCTTACAGCTGGTTCTTATGTGTGTTGGAATATGCTGCTTCTGGCTTGAGGTGGGGTTATTTTTTGGTTGGGAGCCCCTTCTCGTTTTTATGTTAACAGATGCTTAGGTGCTTGTAGCACATGTTTTCCTAAAATATTTTATTTTTCCTGCACGAATCCAATTTTAGTTATTTTAGGCAGCTTCTGGCTATTTGAAAGAGCAGCTTGAGAAGCAAGAGCTATAATTAAGGGGGTATTTGGACATAAGATACCATTCAGAATCAGGCACAACTGTCGTAGTTAGTCTCTGCATCCAGTCCGTAGGTGATAAAGTTGTCTTCTGAGGCTTAAGCTCAGTGTAGTTCAGGGGAAATGAATAGCTTCACCAGAAGTAATGTGTCTTTAAACAGTCTATAGTTAGTAAAATAAGTGGCAGCTGGGGTGAAATTTTTTCAGTACTCTGAGAAAGGCAACTGCCATACCAAATTCTTAAAGTTACAATGCAATCTCATTTTCATCTGTGTAGCAGATTTGGTTTTGATTCCTTTGGTCCTGCAGGATTTCACAGTATTATTTCTAAAGATCTGGCTACTGCAAACACCTACTGAACTCTCATATGGCAGATAATTCATTTTCCCTCTTTGAGTATTCTTTAGAATATTGAAAAGGTTTTGGTCCTTGTCCTAAGTAATTGTTGATTATTCCCTTTTTTGTTTTTTTATGTAAAAAAACATGGCAGAGCCTGGCAAGCTCCCCATGGCGTATTCAATATGCCAAAAACTGTAACAACAAGTCTCACAATGGAGACGTTACTTGTGCCCGCTTGAGCAAATTGATGAACAATGGGAGGACAGTGCTACAGTACTACAGTGCTACAGATGTAAAAAAAAAAATAGAACTTTACCTTGAAAATAGACCCGCCCCTCCCCATTCTTTAACTTTGCATCTCTGAGTAAAACCACGTGGTTAGTTCTAGTACTGCTATGTAAATAGTAAGCTATATTGGCCTGAGTTGGGCTTATAAGTTTCATCATTTGTAAGCAGATTCTGCCTATAGTTATAATTGTCAAAACTTTATTCATTTTCCAAAATCTCTGTAGTGCCAAATTCTGACTCTGACTAACTTGAGCTCCTGCATTTTTGTTCTTTTTTTTTTTTTTTTTTTTTTTGCTTTTTGCTTTTTGGGTCACACCCAGCGAGGCACACAGGGGTTACTCCTGGTTCATGCACTCAGGAATTACTCCTGGCCGTGCTTGGGGGACCATATGGGATGCGGGGAATCGAACCCAGGTCGGGCCACGTGCAAGGCACGTGCTATCACTCCAGCCCTGCATTTTTGTTCTTTGACTCCCCTAAATATAAAAGTCTCCCCAAGCTTCTCACACAGCCAAGACTTGGTTGGCACAGAACCAGGGAAGCCAGCGGAAAATAATGTCATATTCAACTTCTGTGTTTGAGTCCAATTGTTACAGAAGCCATTTGTACTGTATTGGGTCCTGTTTGAACTTTATGTAATAAAGTCACTTTCTGTTTTAGAAGAGATTACATCAGAAAAACACATTCTTTATGAATGTCTTTCTCTTCGGCCACATTATTTGCATGAATGAGAACACTGTGGGAATCCCCCCACAGTGAAAACTCATCACGTTGCTCATGCACTGTTGGGGATGCGGGGGGCAGTGGAATCAGTCACACAGCTGGGTTGAGAGCTTGGGTTCACTAACTTCAAGTAAACTGAGGCAGTGAATTCCACTGAGAACTTCTGAGAAAGCTGAAGGAACCTTAATGGCCTTTTCAAAACGTTCTTAGTAAAAGCTAAATAGTTAATATTTGAGTCCTCCACATTAGGTGTCTTCTTTTCTTTTTTTGTTTGGGGGCCACACCCAGCAGTGCTCAAGTCTTACTTCTGGTTCTGCATCTGGGATCACTCCTGGCAGGGCTCAGGGGGCCATGGGGGTGTCAGGGATCGAACCCGGGTCACTGCGTGCAAGGCAAGCACCTTACCCATTGTACTATCTCTCCAGCCCCTCATAGGGTGTTTTCTATTAGCATATCTTAAATCACTTAAATCATCTTATTCACTTAGCTGTGAATAAATAGAATATACCCTATATTTATTAATATTTAATTTTTAAAATTATTTTAAATTGGAATAGGAAATCCTATAGGAATAGTAGCACTGTTAACACTGTCCTCCCATTGTTCATCAATTTGCTCTAGCGGGCACCAGTAACGTCTCCATTGTGAAACTTGTTGTTACTGTTTTTGGCATATCGAATACAACACAGGGAGCTTGCCAGGCTCTCCGAGAGGGATGGAGGAATCGAACCCAGGTCGGCCACATGAAAGGCAAATGCCCTACCCGCTGTGCTATCGCTCCAGCCCTATAATAATATATGGTAATATATTGCATTTTTTATGGGGATTAGCTTACTCTGCCTTGAATTCCTTTCCACTGATGCCTTAGTCATGAAACAGGTATAACTTTTCAAGCCTAGAATAGAATTTTGTTGTTTTTGGCCAAAGGGCACTACAGAATTCCCCAATTAAGAGACTCACAGACAAAAATGTTGTGGACAGAACACAGAATATGTTTAGGCATGAAACTATGATATATTACTTTATTGGTTTAATTATTGTGAATTTTACAAGCAACCAGGGTTAAAAGTAGAAAAATCTAAATTCTGCCTATGTGTTTCTGTGCAAATAATAAATGTGATTTAGAGCCTACGAGATAATGCAGGAGTCAGGCACTTACCTTGCATTCAGGGCTTGATCCCCAGCTCCACATGGTCCTTGATTTATTTTGTTTCATTTTGTTTTATTTTGGGGTCACACCCAGTGATGCTCAGGGTTTCTCCTGGCTCTGCACTAAGGAATTACTCCTGGCAGTGCTGGGGGCACCGTATTCTCATATACCAGGATTCAAAGCCAGGTTGGCCACATGCGAGGCAAGAGCCCTACCTGCTGTTCTATCTCTCCAGCACTATCCATGTGGTCCTTGAGCACTGCTGGGAACAACCTCCAAGTGTGGCTTAAATACCTCCCTTTGGAGCCAGAGAGATAGTACAGTGGGTAGAGCACTTGCCTTTCTTGCAGTCAACCTGGGTTTGATCCCCACCACCTCATATAGTCCCTCAAGCCTGCCAGTAGTGATGCCGGAGTGCAGAACCAGGAGTAACTTTGAGCTCCACCAGATATGACACAAAAACAAAACAAAGCAAAATAAAAACTCTCACCCACATAACTGAAAATATTCTCTTTCTTTGGTTCTTGGGCAGAAGTGATAGTTTGCTCTTTACAGGAAAAGGAAAGATCAGTCCAGATTACCCAGAATTTTCTCTGTGTGTTGTCTCTCTTGCAGAAAGGAGTTTTGAGGGAAGATGAATAATGGAGCGAAATTGTTTTATGTAGGAAACACAAGAGGAGAGAGAAAAGAAAACCCCTTAAAGTAA